ACTAGGCTATAGTTATCCTGCTTGGCCTATCAATCATAGGCCAGAGACCAAAATTAAACATATTCAAAAAAATCTATTTATGTTCCTCCCATTTGATCAAATCAAAATTAAAATCAACACAAACAAATACATGTTTCTTAGCACAAACCCTGTGCAATATATCAGCAGTATTCTGTATAAATGTTTCAACACAAGAACCTGGTGTTCTATACATGCAACTCAAAATAATTGTTTTCCTTTTGGTGAAACTGATTTCTATTATTATACTCTCCATAATGTCATCATTAACTGTACTATCTATTACTTTACACTCAATATGCTTCTGTACATAGAAGGCAACACCCCCACCTTTCTTATTATTCCTATTTACGTTAAACATAACCCTCCAAATCAAGGCATGAATCTGTTTCTTTTGTTATCCGTCTCACTGATTGCAATAATTTGAAACTTATATTTTAGTGACCTTAACAAATCTTTAATTTGACTAAAATGTGTATGGAGACTTCTGCTGTTAAAATGTATGATAGAGAGTCGTTCTATTTTAAGTGTGTTTAACTCTTCTTCTTAATAATATTCTGATTTCGATTTGTTTAGATTGTAAAAGGTTGCCTCTGGATCAATATTATTTTCAAAACCAAATAATTTCTGGTCGGATACATTTGACCCTTTTAGGCTTAGTTTGGTCTGCATTTCTTATTATCTGATTGTCATTCCCATTTTTAGATGATCAACTATAGGTTTTCCAGTAAAACATGATCTTGATAACATTGAAGCACTTGAGCTACCTGATCCTCCCTTGTGGTGTCCTCCTCAGGGGCTTCATCCTCACGTTGTAAATCTTTAGCTGTAGTTCTTAGATGAGTTTGATGCCTTGTTTCCATGAGATTATTTTGTTGCATAGTCTCTATATTCATTTTCACACACCAGAAATTGTGTGATATCATTTTTCTGTCCAGCTCCATTTCCTAGCTAGGTATTTCTTGATGACGGTAATGTGGTATCCCCTTGCTCAGGGTACTAGAAAAGAAAAAAGGGTACTTTTTAGGCGTTTGTTATTTAGCTTCTTCATCTGTATTTCTCCATCTCCTGGAGGCTTCGATCCATGACCACTTTTGCTTGTTCAGGTGATCCATTTAGATTTACAAACACTCTTACATTTCTCACCCATGTTGCTTGAATTTTCTTTTGTTTCATTGGTGTCCGGCCAGTTCTGGCTATTTAAGCTTTTTTTTTGTCAAGTGTTCGTTTACATAAACACCAGAACCCTTTAGCTTTCTAGATTGACTCAATATATCAATCTTCTGCTTTCTGTTTACAAGCTGTATCACAATTGATGACTTATTTCTGTTATCCTTTCTTGGAATAGTGAAGCAAGCAGAGATCCGCCCTGTATTTAGATTAATCTTCTTAACGCTGAAGAACTGAACAACCTGTTACTCCAGTGTGTGTAGCTCTTCAGGTGGTGCCTCCTCACCTTCTTGACCTCCCGCTGTAGCTCTGGCATAACTGCGATGCTTTGTTACGAGCCCAGTGTTGAGTATATCATTTGCTCCTGCATTTTGTTCCAAATCAATTCTTTGTCCCATCCTCTCAATCTTCTGATCCTTCTGTTTGATTGAGGCCTTCAGTTCCTGTAGCTCCTCCATTAGGGCCATAAGGTTAGCCTGTTGTTTAGCAACCTTGCTAATTTCTTCAGACAAAAAGTTCAAGGATTTTTTAAATTTCTTCCAGCTCTTTTGCCAATTTTTTGGATGTAGCCATCTTTTGCCGGTCTTGTTTTTCATCTTTTTAGACAGATTTCATTTTCATTCTTGAAGGAAAATTTGAGGATTTACTGAGACATGAAAGTCATGCAGGCACCCCCTTGTCAGATGAATTGGTGCTGTGTTGAAGGCAAAGGGGGGGTGGGGGTATAATAAATATTGATTTAGTTTAGATTTCTCTAGATAGCTTTGCTCCTGTTTCTTTGCCTGCGTTAACCAAACTAGTTAACTCTATGAAGACCTCTGCATGCCCCCTCCACATCTTACCCTCATCTTTGTTTAAAAGTGCTTTTCAGTCCATCGGTCCCAGCGTGCTCTCTATAATTAATGCTTCTCTGGTTTCTGGTCAGGTCTCTGCTTACTTTAAGAACGCTGTAATCCACCCCGCTTCTTCAAAAACCGAGTCTCGACCCCTCTCTCCATAGCAGCTTCAGACCCATCTCTAAACTTCCGTTCATCTCCAAGATCTTGGAAAAGGTTGTGGCTAAACAACTCACAGCTGCTCTTGATGAACATAACAGATAGCTTCCAGTCAGGTTTTCGTAGAGCTCATTCTACTGAAACAGCTCTTCGTAGGGTCTCTAATGACCTTCTGACTCACAGTGATGCAGGGGACTGTTCTGTTCTGGTCCTGCTGGACCTGACTGCAGCCTTTGACACTGTTGACCATCACCTGCTACTGGAGAGGCTTAGAGACTGGGTAGGCCTATCAGGATCTGCTCTGGAGTGGTTCTCCTTTCATCTGTCTGAGCGTTCTTTCTCTGTGGTTGTCTCCAAATTGCCATTCTCTACTGCCTTCCTCACCCATGGTGTCCCACAAGGTTCTGTGCTGGGACCTCTACTTTTCCTCCTCCATCTGCTCCCTCTCCAGCACATCCTGAGCTCCTTTAAAGGAATCTCCTTCCATCTTTATAGAAAATGACATCCAACTGACTCAATTAAAACCAGGATAGCTGGGAGCTTTCTACAGCTAAATGAAGATAAGACTGAGATCCTCATCTGTGCCCCAGACAAGCTGGCTCCCAAAGTGTTGGCTTGCTTCTTACACTAAACCTTCTGTCAGGAATCTTTAACTGATCAATCAATCAAGGCTTTATTTATATATATAGTGCCTTCCACAACTCTTTACGGGTGCCCAAGGCACTAGAACACATTGTAAAAAGACATACAGTCATAAAAAGAGAAGTTAAAACATAAAACATAAAATGTAGAGCATAAGGCAAAGGGATAAAACTATGAACAAAAGTGACCTAACAAGGAACAGAACAGCAATTAAAAACAAAAACTAAAATAACATAAAAGCAAGCCAACTTTAAACATGGCCTGGAAACGCTAATTGAAAAAAATTTGTTTTCAGTCGACTTAAAATCTGGCAGCCTAACTGCAGGTGGCAGCTGGTTCCACAGTGACGGGGCTAGGACCAAGAAAGCCCGGTCTACACCGAGTTCGACAAGGAGGCCCAGATCAGAAGAGCGCAGAGTGCGTGAAGGCAAATGTCCCTTCAGGAGGGCCACTAAGTAAGGAGGGGCATGTGACCTCTGACCCAGCTCTCACCCTGGATTCTCATATCAAATCCCTTGTTAAGAAGTCACCTAATTAAATTACTTGTGTGTAATTTTGTCTCATTATAAATACACTTATTCTGTTAGAGCCTAGGTGGTTTGTTAGAGGACATTATTGAACAAACAGCATCACGAAGACAAGGAACCACACAGGTCAGAGATAAAGTTGTAGATTGGTTTAAAGAACAGTTACGTTATAAAAAAAAACATCCCATGCTTTAACATCACAAGGAGCAGTGCTCACTCCACCATCCGAAAATGGAAAATGTCTGATACACCACAAACCTACCAAGATTTGGACATAAACTGACTGACTGAACATTGATTTTTCATCATGATATATTGGGGGTGTGGCATGAGTACGTGTCACGCTCACTGCGTGAGTGTTGACAGCCCTGCCCAAGCGTCCAGCAGGAGCTACGATGGAGCAGTTGAGGTAAAATAATGTGTTAAAACGGCCCAGTTAAAGTCCAGATCTAAGTCCCGATGAGCATCTGATGAAAGACTTGTTCAGACGTGCAGCCATGAAACAGAAGAGGAGAAAGGAGCGTACCTATTTTGTGTATCTGAATACTGCGTATATAATTATACACACATGCATGCACAAACACACATTTGTCTATACACACATGTCAAAAATAAGTATTGTTACTTTTCTAGGTAATGACACCACAAATCAATACAGAACACCTACTTTATGTTTAATTTGTTGTCATAAATTTGTATTTATTTTCTTGCATTAAATTGTTGAAAACGTTAAATGTTGTCTTTGGTAATAACTGTTACTGTCACTTAATACATTAATGTAGTGGAAATAAACTGTTGGATATGCAGTCATGGTGAAATAATCTAAATCATCATCATGGAAGTGTTAAAATATGCTTTCTTTCCGTCTGTACCATCCAAACAACTAACAGCAACAGAATCAACAGCTTCAACGACATTCTCCGTCAGCCAGACCTTTTCTCATTCTCAAAGTTCTCTTGCATCTCTCTCTTTCTTCTGCAAGTATTGTATGATGTTGCCTCATGCACTTGAAAGGCCTACAACTGCTAGGGGAGATACCAAGAGATTTCACACACACACACACACACACACACACACACACACACGCACGCTCATACACATCTTTACACTTATGCATGCACTCACACACACCCTTTTCAAGCTGTGAGAGATGAGATATGCTACTTGTGTTGTCTGGTAACTGCTAGAGATTGATATGACTCCATTGTACTGTCAGGATCAATCCTAATAAATAGTCTTTATAGACTAGGGTTCTTGAGGTGTGCTTGTTGGCACATTCACCTCTTCACTGTCCAGACAACCCATTCTCACTGTTATTCTAAAGGAAACTTGTTTTCTTTTGCTGAAATGTGCCAAAGTCTGTTTCTCATGTGTGATGAGCCGAGGGAAAGATAGACTCGACAGACGAGGGCTAAAGCCCTCACCTCAAACCAGATTGGGGAGAAAAGTCTTTTTATCTCTTAAGTCCACCCTTAAGTGTGTGTGTGTGTGTGTGTGTGTGTGTGTGTGTGTGTGTGTGTGTGTGTGTGTGTGTGTGTGTGTGTGTGTGTGTGTGTGTGTGTGTGTGTGTGTGTGTGAGATGCGCTGATGGCTTTAAAATGAAAGCAATAAGAAGCATGCAGCAAAAACATAAAGAAAGAGTCCAAAGTCAGAGAAAAGTGATGTAACTGGTTTATTTGGCTGTAATTTACCTGATGAATAATTTCCTGACATCGACATCAAATATTTAAAGGACCTGAATCTCAGATACATCAAACTGATTGGTTGAAGACAAAATTAAATTGTACCGTTACCCAACAACAATTTATTGTTGTGTCGACAAGTGATTGTTTGTCCGCAAAGTACAGCCGAAAGAGAGAGAGAGAGAGAAAGGGAGAGCGAGAGAAGGGAAAGGAAAACAGAAATGCCAGCGAGTGTTTCTCGGAGCAGGAAGCCAAAACCTGAGCGTGAATTACACGGACCGGACAGAGTCAGAGAAACGGCATCACCAGCTGATGGAGAGGATAAAATCAACTCAGTTAAACTGATGCGATGTGAAGATCTTGAAGCCATGCAGTTAACATAATATTGCCTTCAAATAACACTCGCACATGCTTTTCCAAAATCAAACATGCATTGGGTATCAGTGGGGTAGAAGAGGTGAAAATACTCAACAGTTTAGCAATACAAACTCTAAATGTTTCTGATAGAGCGTGTTAGACATTTTTGCCACCAATCACTTTATTCGGTTGATTGAAGCAATTGGTAAATTAGCATTATAAGTAAAAATAAAATATAAAATAAAATATATATTTAGCTTGGATCTGCCTCAATGCTGCTGTGTCACAAAAACAATAAGCAAATTCAATCACTACCACTAATTTAGAGAGCCTTTTGTAAACGATCCATCATTGCAAGCTCAGATTCAGTCAACACAAGGCTGTGAGTTCAGTTCGGATCACAGTGGTCACGGACAAGTCCAGCATCTCCTCCTGAAGCCACCTCACTAAGGCTTTGTTACAGTTTAGTCACACACTTCTTCTTTCCTCTTTCTGGTAAAGTTTCTCTTTGTTTGGCCATCCCCCTTTCAACAATGACTTTTTTTAATAGAACTACCAAAATCATGCAACTACCCCTCGTGCTGAGACAAAAACCACTTGGTGCTCTTGACATGATTGTTCTCTTGGTGCTGGTTGGGAGGACTGCAGTTTGAGGTCAGCGTGGGCGTTTTTAGGCACTGCCATCCTGTTTGAGCCGCTGACTGCGAGCCTTGTAGACCTCGATCAGTAAATCTTTGACATACTGGATTTCCCGCTCCACCGACTCCGCCTTGTCCCGGAGCTCACGGTTCTGCCCCTCCAGGCCATGCAGCTCCTCCTCCAGAGAGTCTAGCTCCGCCCTCTTACGCAGCCTGTACCTGTAACAAACATGGAGGGGGGTTGATTGCCTTTAATGATTTTTGCTGCCTTGCAACTTTACTCATGAGTCAAGATATGGATCAGCGTTCCCTCCACACTTCTGAATTCCCCCAACATTTCATTTCTGAGGTCGGCCCAGAATCTTTTAGGTGGGTCTGAACCAGGCAGACCCTCCACAGAAACAGACAGCATGGTGGTGCTTTGTCTATAACTCCTGACATGCAAGGCAGAACTCAAAACAGTGGTATTCAGGTGTCAACCGATTCTTAAGAAATATATAAAAATGGAGAAAGGCGTTGCTTTGTTTTAGTTTGCATGGTACTTCACTTGTTGGACACATTTAAAAACATGATTGATTGAGGAACGTTCATAAGGACACAGAGAAATAAGAGTGATTTGCATACCTGTGAGCAGCAGTTTTGTTCTGGTCCCTCTTCTTCTGCTTCCGCTCTCCACTGCCAGAATCCAGAGAAGCTGGACTCATCACCAGGGCTGGTTTGATGGAGCAGGGCTCATCCTTTAACCTCTGGGGGGTGCGGTGGATGGGGGCACCCAGCAGCGGTCCTTCACCCTCCCCTCTGGACAGACATTCATAGCTTTGGTCTGCAAGGCATTCTGGATAGAGGTAGTGGCCGTGTTGGGGCTCGACAGCCTGCGCCTGAGCCGGCTGATCTAGGTCTCCTATAAAGCTATGGTAAGGCTCCGTGTTGGCCATGGACTGGTGGAAGTAGCCATCACCGGCCACCATTGTCTCTTGGGGAATATTTCCAGAGAGTCCTCCGTCCTTGCTGCAGTGCAAGACCTCCAGCCCCGTGCTGTCGTAACTTACATTGACCTTCACATTGTGCATCAGCTGTCCCTCTCGCTTGTGGTGGCTGTCGTACGAACCACCCAGGCAGAACCCTCGAGCAATCTCCTCGCTGCAAAACATTCCTTCGGAAAAACAATAACTCTCCTCTTCCTTCAACGATAAAGCACATTCTCTCACCTTCTTCACGCTGCTGATGCTGTTCTTGCTCACCGTTTTCAGTGTGGAATAGTGGTTCACAGACAGCTCCGTGCTCCCTGAATAACAGCCCCTGGAGCCCCACGTTTCAAGTCCAACTTCGTCCCCAACTTTCGCCTCACCGAGGAGTCTTCGCCCGTTGTTGTGGTGGTAACGGTGATGGTAGCTGTACGGAGCGGGTCGTGCAATTTTGGTTCTGCTGATGGGACCACTACAGAAGCTGGCCAGGTCCAGTTCCCCTGTTGCCAAGGTAACTACCACAGGGCTGGTTTCTGATTGGCTGGTCCCATAAGAGCCATAAGGTAACTGGTAATAAGACTGGGAGCCCATGGCTTGGGTAACCTTGTCACATTTTGAGGATTTCTCCAACTTGTTTGTGGTGGATGTAGACTCGGCGCGGAAGTAGTCCTCCAGCTGAGCCAGCTCCTCCTGCAGTAGAGAGGTCATAACCTCCAGATCCGAGGGCACCTTGACATCCTGTTCTAACGGTGAGGGTGGAAGAGATGAGCTAGGAGAAGACTCGCTTGTTGACACAAATGAAGACAAATCGACTTTTTCCGTCATCCAATCAGAGTGACCATCACCTGGAACATTTCAATTGAAAATCACAATAATGTGTTATAAAATGAACACAGCAATCCATTTTTCTTCAAATGTTTGAATCAAATATTTTAAATAAAAATGACAAAAACAGACAATTTGAAAGCAAGGTTCAAAGAAACCAGTTTAAAAAAGGTTAAAATAAAAGCAAAGCAAAACATCCGAAAAGATCCAAGTGAACAACTAACCGATCATCTGAAAATGATTGAACAGCATCGTCTGCATTCGATAAATATCCACTTAGCTGTACTCACTGTACGACATTAGCCCCGTGCCCCGTGCTGCACTGCGGCTCCAACCTCGGGATGTGGAAAAATAAAAAAGCTTCTTAGCAAAACTCACCAATTAAGTGCTGCCTCTCCACTGGCCCCGCCCCCGTGCTGGGCCGTGATTGGCTGAGGCTAGCCTGTAGGAGAAGGGGAGCGCCGAGGTAGTCTGTGGAAATGGGAGGAATTTTCCTGCGAAGGATCGATGCCGCCATCGTGTTGTCTGCTTCGATAGAACTGTCCAAAAGCACAAACCGTGCACTGGCTGGTTGCAAGAGTTGTAGAAACACCTGAAGGACTGCGGGGGGAAAAAAAAAACACAAATAAACAAAGGAGAAAAAAATCTGACATTTTTGTTTCATAAATTTCTACTTAAAATTTTATTTTGTATTTCGGAAAATGTAAAATATGCTTTATAAAATAAAAATGCATATTTTTAAATTTTAGACTTCTGTTCACCTGTCACCTCACTTACTTATGTCACTTTAAAATAATAGAACAGTTATTACACAAACTCATAAACATGTTAAACCATCTTTAAAAGTTAAAACTGATTTATAATAAAGTACCAGAATTATTAGTAGAATGGGACTTAAATAAATAACAATGACAAACACAATGTAGACACAATTTCTATTTCTATCATTTCAAACACAATAAAGGACGCGTTCCTTTATCTGTGAGGAAAAAACAGATATTGTGTGTTTTTTTAAAGTAATTAAAAAAGTTGAATTTATGTTTATTTCTAGAACTGTTATAAACATCCTCTGAGTTACCCAAACTAAGTTATAATAAGTAGGTTGTTTATAAATGAAGGTGTCACTTTCGTCCGCAGCTATGAAGAAGCGCTCTACTCACCCCATAGTTTCTGTGTTCAGCAGGAGTGAAGGACTCGGAGCTTGACGTGGCGGAACGACTCGGTCGCTGTTTAAAGAGACATGTTTAGGCTTTCAGACACTCTTCATGTGCCGCTTTAACCACCAACAGACTTGCAGACAGAAAGTTTTTAAATCCGCTACTTCTCCAACTCCTTCTGCCCGGGCCTCATCACCGCTCCGCAGATTCATGCGCCGTTTCCAGAGTTCACCGTTACGTCATGAAGCGCGGGACTTTCCCGTTATTACCGAGAGACCTCACACACGCGCGCGCGCTCACAGAAATGAAAGTAAAGAAATAAATACACGAACATCTGAGACCTGTCGGACCAGCCAGCATCGTGGTTGTCCTTTATTTTAACGTGTTAGTTTAGCTCTGAACACAGAACTGATGCACTTATTAGAGCACAAAATAATATGAAGTCTTTATTTGACAGAAAGTTGTTTTTAGTCCCAACCCGACTGTAAAAACACGAGAACTGCACTGGAAAGTCATTAAATTGTCTTGTTTGCACATTAATTGTTGTCAAACAAACTAAAACGTATTTAATAAGCTCTTTAAACATTTCTAATTAAAGACAGGACAAGTTCGGGTTCTTTAAGAACATGTTCTGCAGACTGTGCACTCGGGACTAGTTTCAGACGCGCTGCAGCGGAAGGACACCCTGTTGCAGTTGGAAGGAGTAACTTTAGTTGCAGCCCAGTTGCATCAGATCCGCCGGGGATTCGCTGAGAGCTGTAACAATGTGGCCGAATCACCGCCTTATCACGGGCAGGCTCGGTTCTGCTGGCCCGCCATCATTTATAATGACTGCTAATCATTAGGTATTAATACCGATCTGGGACCAGCTGGCTGTGGGTCAGAACCGACCTGAAACCAGCTGGCTGTGAGTCAAAACCGATCTGGGACCAGCTGGCTGTGTGTCAAAACCGATCTGGGACCAGCTAGCCTTGGGTCAAAACCGGGTCAGAACCGACGAGACTAGCGTTGTCAGAACCGACCTGAGACCTTTTGGGTGTGGGTCAGAACCGACCAGAGACCATGAGTCAGTGAAAGAAACAGGTTAACGCTATTATATTTGCTTATGTATTTTTTTAAAGGACGTTTTTTTGTTACTTTGGCTCGTTTGCAAATCCTTACTTTACAACCTGACAACACTGAACGTTTCTGGCAACTTTCATTATTTTAATAAATACATTTTAATTACTTGAATTTAATTAATTAAACTGTATGAAAGACCTCATGTCTGGTTTCCTGGGATGGTGGGAATTTAGTGTAAAACACAAATGATCAGCAGAGAGAAACAGCCATCATCAGTGAATTACAGTTTTCATCAGGTGCAGAAACCAAAGGCAGGTTTTTTTTTATAGAACTGAAAAAACTAACTGGATGAGAGGTGAAACTTTTTAAGATAACCAGACAAGTCAATTTGTTTTCAGTTAAATCAGTTAAGGATTATAAAATAGTTATTCTTTATTTTTACTAAATTAACAAATAACGATTCTGATTGTAAACATCTATTTTGATTCAACTTAGGATTTCATATCTGCAACACCTTAAAGGTACATTCATCATGCCTTAAAATACCTCTAATATTAACGTTTATGTAATAAAATTAGATGCATGTGAAAGAGAGTCATGGGTGAAATGTTTCACTCAGAAGATGTTAAAAATAATATAAAGCTGTGGCTGTCAACACCTGGAGCAGATCTGGGCCGGCTGCAGCTGCAATGAACAAAACACACACACACACACACACACACACACACACACACACACACACACACACACACACACACACACACATTCACTGCTGACTTGTTTTATGTGATCATTTGTAGATTTTATTGAGATTTTTTCTAATAAAGCTTCACATCATGACCAATAATCTCTTAATTCAGCAAGTTCTATATTATAATGAAATACTAGAAAAATCTCATAATTATCATTGATCAGCTTTTTATCACACCTAATAAACTTAATTTACAGATAAATGACACATGTTTTGTCCTTGTGCTTCATTGTTTTTATTAACTGTCTGCCAGTTGGTAGAACACATGTAAAGTCCCCACATCTCGCTGAAGCTTTTAATGAACTTAACAAGAAAAAAAATGTAAAACAAATCAATTCTAAAGAATATTAAGTTGTTTGAAAAAACATTACTACACTGCATTATTAATACATTAATATTATTGCAGTGTGTATATTAATTGTATTAATTTACATGAAACTAAAGTCCTTATTGCCCCAAATCAAAACAGCAACACTGGAATGTCTTCATGGCTTTTTTCTTGGCGAGGAAGTCAAAGGGTTAAAACAACAGGTGGCACAAACAGCTTTTGTAATCGAGTATTTTAACCTGAAATACGTAAAAGGTGTTTACTACTAAAGTCACAGAATTTAATCCACAGACAAGATGGCTCCTCGCGGCTGTTTGAGAATTGTAGTGATTTATTTACTACATAAAAAATGTAAAATCTTCATGTGCATTTTTAATGTGTAGACTGAATAACACACACACACACACACACACACACACACACACACACACACACACACACACACACACACACACATTTCATGGCTTTATCAATGATTCACTCCCACAACAGCAACATTATAATTTAAAAGCCTCTGAAAATGAGACGTTTCATTAATCAGGAGGCTGAATGAGTCGTTCAGAAGAATAAACATCTAACTGGTGTTTGAACGGCTGATCTAGAAGTTCTGAACGATCTGAGTCTCACACCCTGTGTGTGAAGTGTGTGCCATTAGGGTTGCTGCACTTAGATGTGTTTTATTCTTCCTCTCTTCTGGTGTCAGACTGCGTGTGTTTGTTGTTCGTGACCTCAAGTGACATTCAGTGTATGTGTGTGTGTGTGTGTATGTGTGTGTGTGTGTGTGTGTGTGTGTGTGTGTGTGTGTGTGTGTGTGTGTGTGTGTGTGTGTGTGTGTGTGTGTGTGTGTGTGCGGGAGGGGGCAGGACGCTGCAGAAGTCGCCCAGGCAGAATGACACCCGGCGTGTCCTGCTGGCCTCATTAGTAAAACCAGGATGTCTCCCCACGCGGCTCCCCGGCCTATCCTCTGCCTCGCCGACCAACCAGGAGCTGATTGAAGCAGCCAGGTCTTCCTGTTGCTATAGTAATAGGCAACACTGGTTCACCCCTCTCAAAAGCATGTTTTTGGCATCCCTGGAGACGTGGGTTTAAACGGCCTTCCCCCTCGGAGCTCTTCCACCACCCAATTGTTTACACACTCGCTATATTTTGCACACAGAGCAGATTTTTGTGAATTTGCAACAGTCGTGGGTTCCAGAGATCAGTGAGATTTGTGCAGGTCTGAGGAAATTCCAGCGAGGATTTAATCCCCAAAACTAATTGTTTTAGTCTCATTTTGAATTAAAATTCTTTGTTTTTTGTCCTTGAGTCCAACGTGAGTGTGACGATTAAAGAAATGAAATATATGTTTATGAATCTCAGCTGCCTTTCATTTGTAACCCCCCGTTGGCACTGTACATATTTTGAATGCAGCCCATAGTATTTCAGTTCTGTGTGTAACAGTCGATCCATCAATTCTTCAACCGGTGTATTTTTTCTGTGTTGCAGCAAAACGATTGCCCACTCTTTGTGCGGCATTGCCTTCCATCTGTCCGTTTGTACTGTACAACCACACAGAAGTCTTCTCCAGCAGTGCATCATGGGATGGGAAGAGCCGCCTTCAAAGGCGCAGACGGCCCTGCGCTCCTCTACTATGGCACATTGGCATCAGTTACACCACAATTTCATCACCAGAAGCTCTCTGTGAATCCTGCTTACATTAACTTTTTACAGGGATTGGCAACACAGAGGCAGAGAGGCATGGCAGCGCCAGCGCTCCAACCCATTTACATTCCACCTCCTATTGAACGCTCGGTCTCATCGTATTGTTATTTGTTGTATTTGTATGAACAATTGGTGCGAATGGGGAAGAATCCCTGCAGTTACACTGGGTTTACATTTGGAGGAAAGGCGAAGGGATTAAAAAAACAAGAGGATGGGGAGACTTCAAAGCGGTAAAGTGTGCAGGGCCGTATTTGAATGATGGCTGGTGTATTGTTTTGATAAGTGCTCCCTGAGGAGAACAAGAGGAGCAGCGTGTCACTTGTTCCTCTCATCTCTGCAACAGGGAGCTGAGAGAACGTCAAAATAAGAAAAACTCTGCTGCAATTAAAGGGTTCAGAGCTATGAGGCGCACACGCACACACACACACACACACACACACACACACACACACACACACACACACACACACACACACACACACACACACACACACACACACACACACACACACAACACAAATTAATTAATTTGCTTTTAAGTTCTATCTAACTAAGCGGGTGACACACCCAGATGCAGGATGGAGATGATGATGTGGGAGGATGGGGAGGGAGCAGGAAAATTGAATGTGGACATTTTAATTCACACATCGACTTTCATCACTCGTATCCGACTGAGCAGCGTTCTCGTTAGCAGCCACAAAAACGTCAAATCAACTGTTGATTTCTCCGCCGGCTTCAGACGTTTGTTTTCAAATCTGCTTTGTCTAAAAATGTAAAACAGAGACATGAAATATTGACTCGCGTTTGCCCTCTGAATGATGATATGACTGAAATCATTCAAATGTTCTGGTAACAGGAAACAATACAAGTGTAACAAGACATCAGATTTATGAGTTTGTTAATATTCATTTATTCACATTATTTATGTTTTTCTAGTTATCTTAACATTTTTTATGCAAACACACATTTATGGAATAATATATCCTCCCTAAAAAGTTTGTAATTGTTCCTCATTTCTAGTCTGATAAAAAAATCATCCACTACTTTCTGAGTTAAGAATAATTTCTAATCCCTTTCCCTGTTTCTTCTGAAAAAGTATTTTTCCTCTGGTTTAGGTACTTTTTGCAGTCAGGAAGGTTGAATAACTCCTTAATCAGTGGCCGTGGAGACACAAATGACAAAGATGCCGACATTTTATTCACGAAGGACTGGATTTTGTTTTAGGGGAACATTTTTCAGGGCAGAAGAAGAAGATCAGAGACACACGGACCTGGGATGAGTTTGTTAGTGGGCCAAAATGAGCTGTATAATTATTATACTGGTATAACAAAATCCACTGTGTGTGTGTGTGTGTGTGTGTGTGTGTGTGTGTGTGTGTGTGT